ACAAGCAACGATGTGTGAGCAGGGGCGTTATCATGGTGCAAAAGCCAATTTTTGTCACATCTTCTCGGCCTTCTGAGAACATTTTGTACCACCGATAAACGTTGCTTCGGTCCAAGGTAAATTCTTCATATGCCACAGTCAACATTCGGAATGCATCCGCGCACTTAATTTTGTTTTTCACACAAAATTTGATACAGGTTCTTTGATCCATGTTTTTTGAATAGGTAAAAATCGAAGATGATCCAAAACACGTGCAAGCAAAGCAGCTGCTAACAATTAAATGAACATTCAAAATGGCCGAGCTTGTCGGCATAAGTGAGAGACATGAGTACCAACATAACGCCACAAAAATTTCGAAATTCGAATATACGTAACACGCGAAAATTTAAAATTCGCGATATTTTTTGAACACTCTTCGTATTTGAAAAATTTCGGCGTTTGTGGCTTGTCCACGAGTGCGTACTAAGAAGCCAGATTTACCTACGAAATATATGAGCGTTTCGAATACAAACGCATGGAAATCTATCCACAGTGAAATTGCAATAATTGTAATAGCTCGCTTTGAAATGTAACCCTTCGAATCGGAAAGTAAAGTACTTAATATACCAGCAATTAGTACAAAATCGGAAAAATTAATAATGAACCAAATAAAGACTTTATCAACAAATGAACTTATAAGTATACCCAACGGTGGACACAATTGATTTTAAATTTTCTTTCGGGGCTTCAACGGCATAAAAACTCAATGCATGCAACTATTTCTTAAAAACCGCAAGTATAGCCATAAATAATAACCGCAAATACAAAATTGTTATCGCGAAAAATGTCATTTTGATTGTCTGAAACGTCAAATTGATTTCAAATGCAAATTGAAGACACTTCGGGTTCGGTTGAAGCTCCAGAAACCAGAACGATTACGGGAAACGTAATGTCAGCAACAAACAACAACAAGAATTGTGGTATTTACAAAAAGAAACCTAACTTTCCCTCTAAAGTGAATTTTATTCAAAAGTCGAGGATTTGTATGTACGTCGAAGGAACAGAGAAAAGTTGCAACAAAACCGAAAGTAAATAATAACGAGCTTGAACATTACTTATTTTTCGCCGCAGTGGCACATGTATGTCATTGCTAATGAAAGAGGAGTGAGAGTGAACTACAAGCGACACAGTTTCTGCACTGAGACCACAAGCGGATTGTGAGCTACTTTGACATATAACTGCAACAAAACAACCACAAATATTTCATTTAGAACAGCGGAAAGTTAAATCACTGGCATGCACATAAAAACCCAGTGACTTGAAAATAAAAATGCACTTGACACTCACACACACCTAAATGAGTATTGACATATAGTATACACAGGGTTTGTCCGGAAAGTAATAAGACTGAGGTGATTTAAAAAAAAATTACTAAACTAATCGCTACAATTATTTAAAAACTTTCAAACTAG